TCCCCCCCTCCAATTGCCCCATGCCCCCTGGGGTGACCCCCCATGACTGCCCCATGCACCCCAGCGTACTCCATGGGACCTCAGGGTGCCTCATGGACCCCAAAAGTGCCCCAAACGTCCTCAGGGTGCCCTCTGGCTGCCCCATGCACCCCGGTGTGCCCCATAAGGTCCTTAGGGTGACCTATAGGACATGGGGTGCCCCATGTGTCCTAAGGGTGCCCCATGCATCCTAGGGTCACCCCCCCAACTGACCCACGTGCCCCAGCATACTCTATGGGACCTCAGGGTGCATCATGGACCCAAGAGTGCCCCAAATGTCCTCGGGGTGCCCTCTGGCTGCCCCATGCACCCCGGGGTGCCCCATGGCTCCTGGTGCTCAGGGATGACCTATACCCCCCCCAGCTTGTCCAATGCCCTCCCCCCCTCCAATTGCCCCATGCACCCCAGGTTACTCCATGGGACCTCAGGGTGCCTCATGGTCCCCAAGAGTGCCCCAAATGTCCTCGGGGTGCCCTCTGGCTGCCCCATGCACCCTGGGGTGCCCCATGGCTCCTGGGTGCCCCTATGTGCTCGGGGATGACCTATGCCCCCCCCAGCTTGTCCAATGCCCTTCCCCCCTCCAATTGCCCCATGCACCCTGGGGTGACCCCCCATGACTGCCCCATGCACCCCAGGGTACTCAATGGGACCTCAGGGTGCTTCATGGTCCCCAAGAGTGCCCTAAATGTCCTCGGGGTGCCCTCTGGCTGCCTCATGCACCCCGGTGTGCCCCATGGCCCCTGGGTGCCCCTATGTGCTCAGGGATGACCTATACCCCCCCCAGCTTGTCCAATGCCCTCCCCCCCTCCAATTGCCCCATGCACCCCAGGTTACTCCATGGGACCTCAGGGTGCTTCATGGTCCCCAAGAGTGCCCTAAATGTCCTCGGGGTGCCCTCTGGCTGCCTCATGCACCCCGGTGTGCCCCATGGCCCCTGGGTGCCCCTATGTGCTCAGGGATGACCTATACCCCCCCAGCTTGTCCCATGCCCTCCCCACCCCCAATTGCCCCAGGGACCCTCAGGGAGCCCCATGTCCCCAGAGTGACTCGTAAAGCCCCCCCAGATGCCCTCAATACCCCCAGGTTGCCCCATGGCCCTGGAGGTTGTCCCACGTAACACCCCATACACACCCAGGATGCTCATGTGGCCCTATACAGCCCCAGGTGGCCCCCTCGTGCCCCCCATACAGCCCCAGGATGCCCCCCTGTGACCCCCATGCAGTCCCAGGATGCCCCATATACCCCCAGGGTGCCCCATGTGCCCCTATATACCCCCAGGTGGCCCCCTGTGCCCCCATATGCCCAAGGGATGCCCCACATACCCCACATATACACCCATATATAACCCATGTGGCCCAATACAGTCCCAGGTGCCCCCCTGTGCCCCCATATACCCCCAGGATGCCTCATATTGCCCCAGCCCCTCTCCCGCTCCCCACCTGCAGGTCCGGGGGGGGTCTTGACCAGGGAAGGAGCCTCCCACCCCCTCCAGATCCTGCACCCCAACCACGCAGGGCTTGGTGCCCCACGGCATGGCACAGCTGACTGCAGCCAGGTGGGGAAACTGAGGCACGGGGGCACCGCTCAGCCAGAGGGTCACCCCCCACCCCACTCGTGCCTCAGTTTCCCTTCCTGGGGAGGAACCACACCACCCACCTCCTGCAAAAAAGCCACGCAGCCCCCTCTCCAGCGTGACGGGACCCCAGCTCGCTCTGCCTACAGATTTTTGCTGGAAAAAGCTTTATTTTCTGAGATTTATAAGCCCCCGGAGGCCCCTGCACCGCGACGGCGCGGCCCTGCAGCCACCAAGGACGGGGACATCCGACAGCATCCCACGTCCCCGGGGGGACCAGGGAGCAAACCCCCAGCACCACCGCAGCCTCGTGGGGCCCCCCCAAAAATGAGGGGCCGCGTGAGCCTCCCCACAAACTCCCCCACCACACGGGATGGGGTCGAGCACCTCCCGGGAGCCCTTTTGCCTTCGTCCCCATGGGGGATCTGTGATGGGAAGGATTTGGGGGGGGGTGCCCATGTTTCGGACGGGGACATCCGACAGCATCCCACGTCCCCGGGGGGACCAGGGAGCAAACCCCCAGCACCACCGCAGCCTCGTGGGGCCCCCCCAAAAAACGAGGGGCCGCGTGAGCCTCCCCACAAACTCCCCCACCACACGGGATGGGGTCGAGCACCTCCCGGGAGCCCTTTTGCCTTCGTCCCCATGGGGGATCTGTGATGGGAAGGGTTTGGGGGGTGCCCATGTTTTGGGGAGCTGGGCAAAGCCACCCTAAGTTTCTGATGCTCTCAGAGCTCATCAAGACGTCTCCTCCGATCCCGATCCCGATCCTGATCCCAACTGCCTGTCCGACCGCGACTGCTGGCCGAAATCCTACGGGAGAGGGAAGAAGAGAAGCAGAAAAAGCCCCTCACCGTGGCCTCGGGGCTGCCCGTGCCCCAGGTGGGGAGGTGACCCCCCCCATCTCACCTGCTGCCAGCAGGCCTCCAGCATGACGCCGGCGCGCAGCAGGCACCACAGCTCTCCCAGCAGCGAGAGCAGGACGTGGAGGACGTCGCTCCAACGGCCGACGGTGAGGAGGAGGATGAAGAGGCCGCCCATCCGCACCAGCACCGTCTGGTAAAGCCCGGCCGTGCTCTGCCGCGACTCCTCTGCAAGGACACAGGCTTGGGGTGCCCACCGTGTGGGGACACCCCCTCCCCTCCCCAGCCCCACGACCTGGGGGCACGGTGCCCTTCGGGGATGCTACGGGGTATAGCCCCCCGCTGCCCCATATACCCCCAGGATGCACCATATATCCCCTATATGCCCCTAGGATGCCCCATATAAACCCATACAGCCCCAGGATGCACCATGTACCCTCTATACAGCCCCAAGTGCCCCCCCCGTGCTCCCATATACCCCCAGGATGTCCCATATATCCCCTATATACCCCTAGGATGCCCCATATAAACCCATACAGCCCCAGGATGCACCATGTACCCTCTATACAGCCCCAAGTGCCCCCCCATGCTCCCATATACCCCCACGATGTCCCATATATCCTCTATACGCTCCTAGGATGCCCCATATAAACCCATACAGCCCCAGGATGCTCCATACAGTTCCATACCCCCCCAGGGCCTCCCTATGTACCCTCTATACAGCCCCAAGTGCCCCCCCATGCTCCCATATACCCCCACGATGTCCCATATATCCTCTATACGCTCCTAGGATGCCCCATATAAACCCATACAGCCCCAGGATGCCCCCTATGCCCCCATACAGCCCCAGGAGGCTCCATACAGTTCCATACACCCCTGGGACCCCCCCTATATCCCTATACCCCCAGGATGCCCCACACAGCTTCATATACAGCCCCATGCATCCCCATATACATCCCCCTAAGCCCCAGGATGCCCCTTATATCCACTCTATACCCCCAGGATGCCCTATATATCCCCTATATGCCCCCAGGATGCCCCCTATGCCCTCATACAGCCCCTTGATGCTCCAT